TGAAGGGCGTTTCTGATGAAGGGCTTTATTTAAACGTTCCAGTTGCTGACTATAAATCTCTGCATTGACAGTTCGCTGTGGATTGAGGAGTTCGAAATGAATTACTCCTTTGATGTCACCAAATGTAAAGCATCACTTTCTGCGGATGGAGTCCAGGTTTTGGTGTCGGAAGTGATTTTTGTCTAGGACTGAGCCATTGTTTTTGGCGTTTAATATTCGCATAGAGAATCCATGTTTCATCATGTGTGACAATTCTGTCCAAAATCGGTTCAGGCACATTACGCGCCAGAAGAGACGAAGCAACGTTCACACGTTGGAAACGATGATCACCGGAAAGTTCGTGAGGCAAAATATAAGTACATCTGTAAACGAAAATATCAAAAGTGCACAACTTCCGCAAATGTGTTTCTCACAGAAGAGTACGATGACTTGAAAATAAGTGTCATCTTCAAATCTCGTGAGGAGCTTTTATGAGTATGGAACAGCCGTCAACTTGAATAACTCAGCAATTTCTATCTCACTTCTATCGTTTTGCAAAGGTTTGTTTGTTTGTTTTGAATTTCGCTCAAAGCCACACGAGGGCTATCTGCACTAACCATCCCTAATTTAGCAGTGTAAGACTAGAGGGAAGGCAGCTAGTCATCACCATCCATCGCCAACTCTCGGGGCTACTCTTTTACCAACGAATAGTGGGATTGACCGTAACATTATAACGCCCCCACGGCTGAAAGGGTGAGCATTGATGTGACGGGGATTCGAACCCGCGGGCCTCAGATAGTGCCCTTTTTTGTTTTTAACATTTATTTCCACAAATTTTCAGATAATTAATGTAACTTATCCTAGTTTAGTAGGGATTTTTTCTTATCTGAATCATCTTCACAACAAGTAACGCATAAGGCCTCAGTTAAGAAGTATACGAATATGTACATTATTAGCCTACTTGTATATATATATATATATATATATGGTATTCAAAATAACACTGTGACGCTGTATTGATAAATAATCAATTACTTTTGTGCTATTTCAAAACTGATATGG